GGCAAATGTGAAGTGATGGAGAAACTTTAAGATATTGGAATGGGTACTGTTATGAGCTTAATTATTCCCTCCAGCTGCCCTGCTCCCCTTCTTTTTTTTTTAAAAATTTTATTTTATTTTATTTGAGAACATACTGTACAGAGGGGTTACAATTACATGGGCAGGATAATGCATACATTTCTTACCAAGCATTGCAGCCTCCTCCTTTGTTTACCCTTCACCTCCCTTCCCAGCCTTCCCCCTCCCCCCCACCCAATCATACCACCCCTCCCCCCCCCCCACCGACATTGTAAAGCTGGTTTTGACATGACATTTTGTACTTCTCATTGTTGCAACAGGTCCACCTGAATCCTTAAACGACTTGTTTGTCCCCGTCTCCTCCACATGTTATACTGACATCAAATATAGTGAAAGCGGGGGTTACACTGTGGGGGAGGGACATACAAAGCAACAAAGAAATAATCTTATAAATGCGTTAGAAACACATGCATGAAAGAAACAAAAACATTAAAATACATATTTGAGGGCTCGTTTTCCTAACATCACATTCTCTGACTTTTTCCGCTTGACTCATACCTATACTAGATATTGCAAATAAGGGAAACCATGGGACCTATGTTTCTTTGGGCCTGGCTTACTTCACTTAATATAATTTTTTCCAAGCCTTTCCATTTCCTAACAAATGGGGAAATGTCATTCTTTCTGATGGAGGCATAGAATTCCATTGTGTATATATACCACATTTTCTTGATCCATTCATCTACTGAGGGGCATCTGGGTTGGTCCTGCTCCCCTTCTAAGCTGAAGCCAGTCTTATCAGTTCTGGGTAGGATATCTTTTTGCATATTTGAATATATACATATTTTACATATATATGAACACAATATGATATATTGTACATGTAATACATATAATATATAGAGATGTTTAAATACAGTGTATTTTTATATAACCTCAACATAATTGTATATAACCTTTAATTAATGGAAATTGAAGCATACTACGTGTGTGTGTGTGTGTGTGTGTGTGTGTGTGTGTGTGTGTGTGTGTGCCAGTCCTGGGGCTTGAACTTGGGGCTGTCTCTGAGCTTTTTTGCTCAAGGCTAGTGCTCTACCACTTGAGCCACAGCTCTACTTCCAGCATTTTTGGTGGTTAATTGGAGATAAGAGTTTCATGGACTTTCCTGCCAGGTCTGGCTTCAAACCAAGATCCTCAGATCTCAGCCTCCTAAGAAATTATTATAGGTGTAAAACACTGGTGCCCCAACTTAAAAAAAAAATTGCACATAGTTCTGGTAGCTCACATTTGTAATCCTAGCCTCAGATGGCTTATATCTCAGAATCACGGTTTGAAGGGAGCCCAGGCAGAAAAGTCCCAGAGACTCTTGTTTCTAACCACTAAACAAAGCCTAAGTGGGCTATGGCTCAAGTGATAGAGTGCTAGCCTTGAGCCAAAAAATAAAGTGAGAGCTCAAGGCTCTGAGGTCAATCCCCAGGATTAATGCACACTCATGTGTACCGCCCCCCTACCCCAATGTATGTTGAGGATCACACACACATACACACACACACACACAAACACAAACACACAAAATGTATGTTGAGGATCATTTCATAGTGGCATAGAGTTCATTCTTAAAGCTTATAATCTATCTATATTTTTATTGCTATATGATGGTCTTTAATTAGTGGATCTTTTATTAATGAGTCCTTTATTATTGAGCATTTGTTTTTTTCAAAAAAATTTTTTTACAATAAGCAATAAAATAAACAAAGTTTTATAAAGTGCCATTTCTGCTGGGCACTGGTGGTTCATACCTGTAATCCTTGCTACTCAGAAGGCTGAGATGTGAGGACCTCAATTTGAAGCCACCTGTACAAAATGTCTGTGAGACTCTTATCTCCAATTAACCAGCAAAAAAGCCAAAAGTGGAAGTGCTAATTGGAACCAAAAAGCTAACTGAAAGTTCAAGGCAGGCCCTGAGTTCAAACCTTAGTACCAGAGCATGTGTACGCACACACACACACACAGATTTCTCATATGTACTGAAAGATATGGATTCTCCAGTGTGGACTGACTAGCATTAAGAATGTGTATGCTCATAATCCTTTTTTTTTTTTTTTTTTTTGTCAGTTGTGAGGCTTGAACTCTGGGCCTGGGCACTGTCCCTCAGCTCTTCAGCTCAAGGTTAGTGCTCTACCACTTGAGCCTCAGCATCACTTCAGGTTTTCTGAGTGGTTTATTGGAAATAAGAGTCTCACAGACTTTTCCTGCCGGGGCTGGCTTTGAACCGTGACCCTCAGATCTCAGCCTCCTGAGTAGCTAGGATTACAGGCATGAGCCATTGGTGCCTGGCTATGCTCATAATTCTTGTAGGTATTATGAATTGCCCTCCAGGAAGTCTGTAGGTTTTGCCTTCATATCTGTGTTATGACTGTCCACACTTTGGCAAGCAAACATTGTTTATCAAACTTTCTGATCTTTGACAATACAAGTGAAAAAAATAGCTTTTCTTAAAATTTTTTTTTTTATCTTTTCTTTTTTAGTACTGAGGATCAAACCCAGGCTGTTGGACTTGCTAGGCAAGCACTTTGTACTGAGCTACATCCTAGCCCACAGCTTTTTTTTTTTTTTTTTTTGGTCCAGTCATGGGTCCTGAACTCTAGGCCTGGGTGCTGTCCCTCAGCTCAAGGCTAGCACTCTACCACTTGAGCCACAGCTCCACTTCTGGCTTTTTTTTTTTTCTGCTTATGTGGTGCTGAGGAATTGAACCCACGGCCTCATGCATGCAAGGCAAGAACTTTACCACTGAGCCACCTTCCTAGCCCCACAGCTTTTCAATATAGTTTTTAATTTGCATTTTTCTCAGAGGGAAAAATATTCTTTTTTTAAAAAAAAGACAAAGGACCCCAAAATTATGTTGAGGTTATTATCTGATCTTTAACATAGTTCCTAGAGTGTATAGCTAGTCAGCATTGAATTCAGAGATCAGGAACATGGCAGCATGCCCAGAACTAAGATGGAAAGGAAAGCCAGTAGACCCCATTTCAGGGATATTTACTGTGACAGGGTCCCTGATGATCTGATGATGCTCCCAGAAGATAACTTCTCCTTTTATATGGATATGTTTAGAAGCTTCAGATTTCCCAATGCCCACAGAAATGGCTATAATGACCTAACTTTTTTTGTTATAGTTATCTTTTATGAATCTATCCCATAAAAAAAAAAACAAGTAAAAAAGATTCTATCTACACTGTGGAGGGTTGGACTCAAATTATCTGGGTCACCTGGAGGTTATAAAGATTAAATAATATGTTCAATGAGAGGAATATTCTGCCTAGGGAAGAGGCATATTGCTAATTAGCATAATTGTCTTGTGGCTTACAGAAACATCTCAGGGCTTTTGTTTTATTTGCGTGTGTGTTTGCAGAAGGGAGAATTGCCCAATAGTGTTCAATGCTGTTTATTTGTAAAATTAATCACATACCTTTTCCTAAAGTCATCGAGCGCCTTAATTTCCTGTCCACCACAGAGACTTCAAAAGCGTGTAAGAGGTGTTATAATTAGATGGGAAAACAGGAGATTGGAGTTAGGCTTGCTGGGTTTACACCTGCCTTGTCTCACACTAGTTGTGTGACGTTGTGCTGCAAGCCACTTTGACCTTTCTGGGCTTTAATTTCCCTACTCTGAATAATTGAGATAATAATCTGACCTATATATACCTGGACCTCATTGTGAAGAAATAATGGCCACTGTACCTGTGAAATGGCTTTACAACTTCAAATGGCAAAACATCTGTTCATTTAGTACTCTTGATATAGACGTTTCTTCTCCCCACCCCCTTAGAAAAAGCTTACTTAAATTGGTTTTAGCAAACCCAAGCCAGGTAATGAAAAATTATTATTACTACCATTACTTTAAATTTTAGGTCTCTGGTTGGGATTTATTGATTCGGTCACGTTAAACCTCTCCTGGAACAATATGTTCAGAAATGTTTTGCTCTGGAAATAGGCCTTTCAGAAGGAAAAAAAAAAATATGTTGTGGTCCATAAAAGACAGTTTTGGCTAAGAGCAGCGACTTTGTGTTTAGAGGAAAGTGGGGCGGGGGAGTCTCTCCTTTCCATTTTTGATCTGAAGATTAACATCAGGAATGCTCCTTTCTTTAAACTTGCAAGGTGCTGGCTAATAAACCCATAAAGAGAACAATCACTTCTGGTTCCTTCCAACTCTCGACCCTGATGATTCAGCTGTCTTCCCACCTCCTAGAGAGCTCAGAGGGAAAATACCTGAGGCCCGACGACAGGCAGGTGGAGGCACAGGATCAATAGAGCCTGGCCTGCCCCCGTCTGCTCCCCCAGCCCCCCTGCCCCTCCTCCCCGCCCCGGGCCACTGGGGAGCTCGGGTCGCCGGCGCGGGGACCTGGTGTGTTCTGGAGCCGCGCGGTTCAGCCAGGTGCGCAGGCAGCACGGGGGAGCTGGGCGTCGCGTGTGGCAACAGGTGCAGCGCGGTCCAGGGCCGATGCCCGGGGCGTGGGGCGGGTCGGCATTTAGCCCGGGAGCGCTGGGAGCTGGGCGATTGGGACGGAGGCGCAGATCCCGCCACGCCGGCCGAGCGGAGCGCAGATGCCGTCCCCAGGTACCGCCGGGTGCGTCTTTCAAGTTTCTGGAGGGTTGCAGCCCCCCTCGGACGCCGTCTGGTCTTTGTCCCGCGGTGATATACGGGGGGGGGGGGGGGGGAGGGGGAGATCGGTCCTGGAGCAGCCGCCGCCCGAGGCCGGGGTGAGGGGACCCGCGGCCCAGCGTCTCCCTTTCCAAGTTTCCCTGAACTCTCCGCCCTGGCTCCGCCCCTGGGCGGCGGGGAGGCGCGGAGGGCGAGGCGCGGCGGGCGAGGCTCCCCGAGGCCGGGTTCCCGCTGGGCTGCCGCGGCCGCGGGGGTGCAGGCGGGGGTCGGGGCCGAGCCGCGCGTTCCCCGGGGCACGCGTCGCCCCGCCGGCCTCCCGGGTGGGCTGGGGGCCGCTCCCCGCCAGGTGCCCAGGACGCCCGGGTCGGGAGAGCGCCTCTCGGTGCCCGTGCACCCCGTCTTCCCGGAGGGCCCGGCGGCGCCGCGGGCGAGCGTCCAGTGGATTCCTGAGCCTCGCCGGGAGAGGGGGCCCCGGGAAGGACGCGGTGAGTGCCGTGGATGGCGGGGCGAGCTTGCGGGGCGCAGGGGAGGGACGGTGTGTCGGGGTCCGGATGCTGGCGTTGGTGGGGAAGGCAGCGCGGGCACGTGGGGTTGGCGCGGCCGCTGCGGGAGGCACGGGTGCGGGGCTGTGGGAGCTGTCACCTTGAAAGTGACCGCTGGCCTTCCGGTGACCGGCACGCCACACGGCCCGCAGGGGCCCACCGAGCCCCGCACCCTGCCGGGCCGCCCGGCCCTGCCGGCCGCCTCGGCCCGCGCCCAGGTCGGGTGGCTGCAGCTCCTTCGCAGCCTCAGTGAGCAGCGCTGGAACCGGGTGGAAAGGCGTCGCGGACCCCCGGAGGTCCGCTCGCTGTGCCCCTCTGCTTCCCGCGGGTACTTTTCCGAGCTTTCAAGAAAATCTACTCCTAAGGTCACCTTACTGACTGCTGGGTCGTGATCAGTGCCCTCCGGTGTTTACTTTAGATAAGTCTTTCGGACCCGTAAGGAGACTTTTCTGCTAGATTATTTTGTTTTTTGACTTGTAATTATTTACTTGAGAATAAAAGGTTAATCTTATTCCTCCCCCCCCCCCCCCCCAGGCTGCTTAGTTGTAGATAATCGTGCCATTTTAAGTTGTCTCAGTTCTAAGGAAATCCAGTGTGTTTTGTTTGTTTTGAATAAAACAAGTTTTAAGCAGAACAGCCGGGAAGAAAGCTTTCGTGTTTGGCCAGGTAATTGGAATTCAACCATCCTAGGAAAGAAATCTCTGCGCTGGGGGTGGCAGGTGAGGGGCGGGGGGTGGGGGGAGGGGGGAGGGAAGGGGAAGGGAGAAGGGGAGGGTGGGGGTGTGGCTTCCTTGGGAGGGGGAACGGAGGAGGGAGGGGAAATTAAAAATTAAAAAATGAAGCGAGAGTCCTTGCTCCCTGATCCGGTGACCTCTTTGAGGAGTCTGAATACACCCAGATAACAGTGCACGGGTAACTTTTATAGCAATTGCATAACCTCAACTGCAGTTCTGTGAGAGCCTATTTCCAAGGATGGTAAATACAGGAAATGCAGCACCATTTAAAAATACTTGGGCAGTGCTTTGCGGTACAGAAAGTGCTTCTTTAACATTTTATATTGCCTAAGGAAAGTTACACACCATCTACTCCCAAAGAACTATTTTCTTACTGAAAAACAAAAACAAGCAAACAAAAATATCGGGAATTGACTTTAGTTTAAAATAAGTTATTTTAGTAATTGGCACCGATTTTTCCTACTTCTTTCTGGCTCACTGTGAGTCTAGCCCCAGACCTTCCTTATGCCAAACACCTGGTCTACCACTGAAGCATAGCTCCACCACTTCCCCCTTCTTCACGTTCTTTTAAACTAGGTTTACCATTTGTGCTACTAATGTCAACGGCTTAGATTAAACATTCGGTTTTATGTTCTGTGGTTAGAAAATGGAAAAAATAATAAACTATAATCCTAAATGATGTCATTTAAACATATATATATATATATATATAATTACATGATAGTGATCTCACTAAAGCAGCACTATGTAGAAGGCCCTAGCAGTGGTAACTTCTTCAGCCTATAAAACTTACCAAGCCAGCTGGGCACTGGTGGCTCCGGCCTGTAATCCTAGGTACTCAGGAGACTGAGATCTGAGGATCAAAATTCAAGGCTAATCTGGGCTGGAAAGTGTTAGACTTTTATCTCCAGTTAATGACAAGGCCTTCAGTGGAGCTGTGGCTCTAATGGTAGAGCACTAGCCTTGGGCAAGAAAGCTCAAGGACCATGCCTAGACCCTGAGGTTAAGACCTAGGATTGTCACAAAACTGGGTTAATATGGAGATAAGAGTGTTGTCAGAGGTCTGTGACCTTTAATTAAAGGTCAGTAATTCAAGGTGAATTTTTGGAGTGTTTTGTAGGATTAATGAAATTCTGGATAAAGGCCTCCAAATTCCTTGGAAATGAAACTTAAGCATTAAAGAAGCACACCATGGAGCTGGGAAGGTGGCTCAGTGGTAGAGCGCTTGCCTTGTATGAATGAGGCCCTGGGTTTGATTCCTCAGCACCACATAAGCAAAAAGAAAAAAGCTGGAGGGGCTGAGAAGGTGGCTCAGTGGTTAAAGCACTTGCCTTGCATGCCTGAGGCCCTGGGTTCGATTCCTCAGCACCACATAAGCAAAAAGAAAAAAGCCGGAAGTGGTGCTGTGGCTCAAGTGGTTAGAGCACTAGCCTTGAGCTGAAGAGCTGAGGGATAGTGCCCAGGCCCAGAGTTCAGACCCCACGACTGGACCAAAAAAAAAAAAAAGGAAGCATACCACTTAAATAGTTTCTTCTATTAAACGTATTTGTTATGCTTTTAAAAGTAATGTACCCTTGATACTAAAATTGTGGTATATTCAGAAAAATAAGAGTTAATCCTATTCCAAAGTTAGCTAAAATCTTTTTCTCTTTCCTTCTTTCCCTGCTTCCCTTTCTCTCTCTTTTTTCTTTCTCTTTCCCTCTCCTTCCTTCCTTTTTTTCTTTCCTTCTTTCTTTCTTTCCTTCCTTCCTTTCTCCCTCCTTTCCTCCCTCCCTCACTCTCTCTTTTTTCTTTCTTTCCTTCTTTCTTTCTTTCTTTCTTTCTTTCTTTCTTTCTTTCTTTCTTTCTTTCTTTCTTTCTTTCTTTCTTTCTTTCTTTCTTTCTTTCTTTCTGTCTTTCTGTCTTTCTGTCTTTCTGTCTTGTCGTGGGCCTGAACCACTAGAAAACTGGAAGTGGCTCTGTAGCTCAAATGGTAGAGCGCTGGCCTTGAGCTGAAGAGTGTGCAGGAACAGCGCCCAAGCCCAGAGTTCAAGCCCCACCACTGACCAAAAAAAAAAAAAAAAAGTTTTCAGTGACAATAAATCTTCAAAAATCTGATCTGAAATCATTTGGGACATGAGAACAAACAAGTATCTCATCAGCTGCTTATAGTCATCTACCTGTATTGGTAATTTTGTATGATACACAAATGATATTATAAATATCCAAATGGTCCTTGACCATTAAAGGTGTCCTCACCCCTCAGACATGACATTCTATAGATCTGTAAATTTAATAATTGTATTTCATCTGATCTTTTTATTTCAGATTACTGCTACTAAATATACTATTGAACCAGTGTGCAGGGTGTATTTCCTTAGGAACATAGTAGATGGCTCAAAGGTTTACTGAGACTTAGTGACCATTTGCTTTCTTAAAGTTTAACCAAAGTATGCCTACCAGTATTCTGAGAGTGTGTTCTATGTTGTTATATTCTTGTTAACATGGATGATTATTTTTAAGAGGAAGTATTCCTGCCAGTTTTAGAGTGGAACAATGCTATTTCAGTATTTAAACTTTGATTTCTCTGATTATAAGTGATGTTGGACACAAAAAATAAAAGTCCATTTTTGTTTGGCATTATTTTTTTTTTTAAGAGTGCCAGATTTTTCTTTTGGGATATTAGCATGTTTCTAGTATTCATAAAAACTGTTTATAGCTGGGTGCTGGTGGGTCATAGCTGTAAGCCTAGCTATTTAAGAGGCTGAGATTATTGAGATCCAGGTCTGATACTGCCCAGATGGGGGGGAAAAAAAACAAAACAAAACAAAAAAAACACCTCTTGCTGAAAAAGCGGACAAGAGATGTAAGCCTGTGTATACTGCTACCTGGCAGCCTAACAGAGGTAGATTTCACCCAGGCATATGCTGAGAAGGGAGACCCTATCTTAACAATGAGCAAAAATCAAGGCCGGAGGCTTGCCTCCAGTGGGAACAGCAACCCGCTTAGAGGCCCTGAGTTCAAATCCTAGTACCCTTAAAAAATAATCTCATCTGGAGGCTGGTGGCTCATGCCTGTAATCCTAGCTACTTAGGAGGCTGAGATCTGAGGACCATGATTTGAAGCCATACCAGGCAGGAGACTCCTTGAGACTCATTTTGTTTTTTGGTTGGTTGTGGGGCCTGAACTTGGGGCTGGACTCTGTCCCTCAGCTCTTCAGCTCAAGGCTAGTGCTCTACCACTTGAGCCATGGTGCCACTTCTGGCTTTTTCTGCTTATATGGTGCTGAGGAATCGAACCCAAGGTCTCATGCCATCTACCACTGAGCCACCTTCCCAGTCTCCATAAGAGCCTTATCTCCAATGAACTACTCAAAAAAGCTGGAAGTGGTGCTGTGGGTCAAGTGGTAGAGTGCTTTCTTTGAGCAAAAGAAGCTCAGGGACAATGCTCAGGCTCAGAGTTCAAGCTCCAGGACTCCTCCGCCCCCCAAAAAAGGCCTTTTATTGATTTTTAGTAGACATTTTTCATTCATATTGGAGATATTTTACCCATTTTTCCTTGCCCTATTAATAGTAGTGTTGACTTACAGACATTTTATACTTCTATGCTCTTGAATGTGTTGAATTTTTCTCAAAAATTAAAAAGAAAACTTTAGTCATGATTTAAAAACTATGTGACTGTAGTAGAAGACTTTAAAAAAGAGTTCATTCCCAAATTCTGAATTAGATTATAATTATTATGATTAGTGTGCTGGTCCTGGAGCTTGAACTCAGAGCCTTGATGCTCTCCTTGAGTTCTTTTTCCTCAGAGCTGCTGCTCTACCACTTGAGCCACAGTTGTACTTCTGTGTTTTTTGATGGTTAATGGGAGATAAGGCTCTCACAGATTTTCCTTTCAAGGCTAGTTTTGAACTGTGATCCTCAGATCTCAGCCTCCTGAGTAACTAGGTTTATAGCTATGAGGCACTGGCTGAATTAGATACTTTCCAAATCCATTACAACCTGTGTATTCTAGAGTAGCCTTTCCATCTGTTGAGGAATTGCTATGTGTGGTGTATACTATTAGGAAAAATATTCTTTGAAATCAAAGCATAAAGTTTTGGAGAGAGGCTCACTTGGTGTTATTTTGGGCCGGAAGACTCTTGACACTATAGGTTACCCATGGTTAGATGTTTTTCCCTCCCTGGAAGCCCTGAACTTATTGCAAAAAGTGAATGTGCTATATATAGAC